TAGTGAGTCTTCCATGATCGTATCAATGACGAAGTTAAAGAGGAAAGGTGAAAGAGGAAAACCCTGTCGGACACCACTTGATGTGGTGAGCCCCCAGAAGGAAGGAATAGCAAAACGTCACTATGTGGACCTACTAGGTGATCGAGTAAGCAGCAGTTACGCTATCTCCACTTTTCAGAGTCCGCACCGCATTTGAATTTTAAAAAAATATTGGGAAAATAGCCAGGGTTTCATGTGAATTCAGGCAAAATAACTCACATGTAAACACTGAAAAGTGCACCAGTGACGTGAAATACAAAATGTGCATGTATTTGGAGCATCTTTGGAGCAATGGAACGGAAAGAGCGCAACTTGTTTTGAACCGTGAGCTGTTGAGCACTACCGGCTTTCGATTAATTTTGACTGTACATTCGTACGTTTCAGGTTCTTTACTCAACCCGTCACATCCCACACCAAGACCCCAACTCTGGAGCTTTTCATTGGAACAAGGGGTTCGCACATTTTCAGACTGTTCTATCATTCGAACCATTGCAACAATCAAGGGGTATGAGAAGTACACTCATTTGCAAATCAATTTGGTTTTCACGAAAGACTCAACTGAATCTCTCGTTTATGATATTCTACAACTGAATGTGCTGCACACAGGCCGCCTCATGTTTCAGTTGGCACGACACTCGAGATATCGCAGGATATTTTCATAAAGGAAACTACTCACAAGGTTGCTGTCGAGGGGTTTTCAGCAACCTTGTGAGTAGTTTCCCTTAAGGAAGTACGAGGTTCACCGCGCTGAAATGCCGCTGAATGGTGGCTCACTCCGTGCCTTGGTGGTAGCTCGCCTTAAACGACGCAACCATCAAAACGCGGCTCGATATTTTATGTTCGTCTTGGTAATCCGCTTGAATACTCCCCCATGGGGTTGAAAGAAGACGAGTATCGAGCCAGATGGAGCCAGATGGAGTACCGTGAACCATCAAATACACCTTCGAAGTTATTTTGACGGCCAAACAGTCCATTGCTGCCTAATCCTGAAAAGAGTGCATGATGTTGCGCGCAAGCGATGATTTTTTCAAGATCTCATTGAGATTTGATAAAAATGCTATTCGGAACACTTTGAAATACTTTCGATACGTCTTAAAACCACTTCCGGGATGGCTTAAGATGACCGCCAGAGATATTAAATTGAAGGAGGCCCAATCAGATATACCTACATGCATGTGGGCGAATACCGACATTGTATCTTCGTCCACGTGATTGTTGGTTATGTCAAAAAGCCACGAAGTGACTGTCTCACGGCAAGCTTTGATGTGAGACAAGTTTGGGCCTACTTATTCGTCAAGTTCAACCCCCCAACCGCATGTTACTGGCATGAACCTGTACACCCGAAGGGGGTGAAAAGTAAACCTGCTATTTAGCAACGCAGTGTTTATTGTTTTCTGTTGGATTGCGGGGTCGTCCCACTCATGGCCTTTTAAGGGACAAGCACGCGGAGGTTCCAGCAATGTCCCTGTCTGAAAGGTTTTGCTTTACTGACTGACGTTCTTACCCTATACAAGCTCTAGCCACGCTGAGACCAACAATACAGGATGCTCTTATACCGGCTAATTTACGACTCAATATCTGCTCACGAGTACCAGTCTCTAAATTATCATTTTGTTAGTAGTGTAAGTAGTATGGAAAGAACATCGAGCGAATGTCAGCTTTCACGGAGCTGTTAGACTGCTGACTTGTATCGGAGCGCTTACTTCATGGAAGTAGTTGTTCACGAAAAGGTCTATATACTACTTTTTATGGAGAGTTGGGGATTCTTTCGCTGCAATTTGTCCTCTTGGCAGTACTTCGCCCACAATAAAACTATATCAGTGAAGATTCATTAATTCCAGAATTCGGCACCACACACTCGACTCAGTTATTGAAAGGAGGAAGGTGACTTACCAGCTATTATATCTTGCATCGTTTGACTTCGGCTGGAATAATGGTTCACAATTACTGAAGAAGAAAGTGAAAGGAAGAGTGTACAGCTGCCAACAGTTCCAATATGCATTGCTGGATGTTTCAAATGTACTTCCAACACATGAATGTGGGCATGAGTGTCAGAAGATACAAAAAAATCGTTCAGCTACAGCACCCTTTCGGTGCCTTACTGCAATTCCACCCGAAGGTTGCACAAGGGCTGCGATACTGCCGGGTTGCCCAAGCCTAGACAGGTGAAGTCGAAAGGCAGCTGTCGGGTTCGAACCATGGAACTTCCGGTCAGTAAATTCGTGCTCTAACCACTTGAGCCATTTCGCCCCAGAAGATACAAAAGACACTTTCAATGGCCTCTGGACCATCACCATACGCCTTAACTTCATGACTTCAGTTTACGTTTGCACAAACCTCTCAGAGGTAGACGTCTTGCATTGGTTGAAAGAGTTTGACACTGACCATCAAGTTCAACTGCGCATAATAAAACAAACCCCTTGTAGGCAACTCAACGACTTGGAACTACTGATATGGTCTACTGGGAGCCAACTTCATCAAACCACTATGTGCAGCTGGATCATTCACTACGGTTCTCGGAATGTCCTAGAAAGCAAACAGAACCATTGTTTGCTATCCTTGTCCGTGTAGTCTTTTGAAAAGCATTCGTCAATCCCATGATTCCCCTGCCCAAACGTTTTTCCTAGAATAGATCGAAAATTGAACCGTCCAAAAGAGGTTAGGAAAATTTTGGCACCGGCCGGATGAAATTCTGGCTAAATATGAAGGTCGATTGGAATGTACGCGTAACGCGCTTTTCCCTGATGTTACGCACAAAACAGCCAACAACAAAATCCCGACCGAAACAACTATTCTGTCTTGCGAACTAGAGAAAACAACCACAGACTCTGTGAAGAGTCGCAGCGTCGGACTGTCGCAAAGCACCACGGTTGTACGCAAATCGATTGAATGACCCCTTAGCCTGATTGAAGGTTTAAACGCTTCCATGACAATTCTTGCGTCCTCATCACACCAACGGCATTTCGGAACGTTTAATTTGGGATGAATGGTGCAATAGTATGCATGCCATATACAAGAGTCTCACTTTGACCTCTCGGTCAGTCCTCACGGCTCAAGCGCACAGATGTTTGGTGTGTGTGCGTGTGTGTGTGGACAAGATCCCAAAGGGGATATGAGAACAAAATCTGCAGGTTAGTTTGTTTGGCTGAATATATCCAACAAAACTAGGCGCTGTCCCAGCGTGAATCAAATCAGAAAATCATCCTTCAAATGGACGAATTCGTGAGTTCTTCTTCGCAAAAGCCTCAGTAATATGATAAAAGTAAAAAAAGGCGTACTGTGAATTCACTCTGTGTCTTCTGAGGCATCTTTTGTTGGATTGTCAAAGAATTTTCAGCAACCTTATGCGTTGTATGTTACGTCTATGCACTGTATTGTGATTTCTCAAATATCGTACCAACTGAAACAGTAGGCACCNTTTCTCAAAAATCGTACCAACTGAAACAGTAGGCACCCTGATTTGGCACATTCCGTTGAACAAGCAAAGCGTTATAGACGAGGAGTTTAGCTGAGTCTCCCGAGTACTCGTCTTTCCCTCTTTGGAGGTAATACCGAAACATTGTACTTTTTGTGGTCAGTGTGTAAAATAATTTGCCAACCAACATGAATGACTTCGTATTTTCCCGTTTGGGTTGGTTTCAAGGTTCCACACCGATCTGAGCCAGCTTGTAGGAGCCCGTTGAATAGCTGTTTGTCGCTTCAACGCAGGATGCAAAAGCGTGGAACATCAATGGTACATATTGGCTTCTATATATATGTTCCATAGTTACAGACTGATCCCGCGTAGATTACCACAAAAGATAGGACCAAACACGGATCACGAAAAAAGTTCTAGGATCAAACGTGCCGTCGAAACCCACCCAAAAGAGCAAAACGTCTCCTTTCAATCAGCTCCGTGAATACACGTCAGCCAGTCTCCTCGTACCTATCTGGCTCTATTCCGAGCAACCGAATATTTCATGCGTTACTTAAAGAAAAATTTCGGTTGTTTCTGGAAATCTCAGGACACTGAAAATAGCCAGTCCGGAAACTTTGCCTATTATCTATATCATGTTCTTGATTGTGCTTTGTATTTTTCAGATGAGACTTCCTCTCATATGTAGGACTTATCAGATCACTTCACCACAGTGTTCGTTCCACCCTGGCCCGGTTCCTTCATGTCGTCGATATTTTTACCAACCGGTGTCAGGTACAGCATCAGATTCGTAAAAACGGCTTAGGTTACATTGATGGACACTAGATACATCAATTCAGAGCGGTCTTTTTTATCTACATCACTGACACTACGAACTCCGTCGAATTGCTTGTGGTTGGTCGATGGAATTTTTAACAAACCCATTAACTCCGACAAGTACACTCAAATCAATTTGGTTTTCACAGAAGACTCAACTGAACCGCCCGTTTATGATATTGTTCAACTGAATGTGCTGCACAAAGACCATCTCGTGTTTCGATATTCGAGGTATCATGGTATATTTTCATTAAGCAAACCACTCACAGGGTTGTTGAAAATTCCTCAACAGCCCATGACCGGTCTCGCGCTTCTTCGGGTTCATCAGGTAGGCGCATTTCCAGAGTTTCCGTCATACGTATGTTCCACTTGAGCCTATTGGCTTTTATAAGGTTTTCCGTGGATCTAAATCCTCATAACACGTGCCATTTTCAAGAAAATATGTTCTGAGTAGATCCCGTCAGTCAAAAAGGCGCACACCTGCAACAAGCTTGTTTGGGTTTGGGATGCGCATCCTGTCTCAGATTTCTAAGTAGCAAATCCTACTGCACGAAGCCTGGTGTCCATACATTCTTAGCAAGACACTACCAAGTTGACTAATCGAAAAAAAGTCTTTAGAAGTTTACTCGGACTGCAAATTTCTCGGATTATTTAATTCTTAGTATACGTGTGTACAAGATGCCTCACACTACCAGCAATCTATAAGTAGCTCAGCGGAAGAATAAAGTTTACCAGATGAGTGAAATTTTCATTTGAAAAGAAGTCGTTGCTCGAGGAGCCAGTCAACACGTGTGACTGCGTGATGTGGATCCCGTGATTGAAGGATGACCGGTGCTATATCCTGTCTAAGTGAGAGTTAATCACACTGCTGAGCAGCCGCCCGTGGCCGAACGGTCAAGTGTTCAAACTACCAGCCAGGAGGACGAGGGTTCGACACTTTCGTGAGATGCGCACTGCTGATGATTCCTAATAAGGATGAAACAGCTGTACAGGGCTTCTCGGCTTTTCAGCGTACCTTGGCTTCACAAAAATCCCAAATCTCCTCACACTACTAACAGGGATTAATATACTGTTATCCTACAAAGCCAAATTACGTCAGCTAAGCATTCTGTGTGACGAAGGTGCTGGTAAAAACTAAATGGTTTCCTATTAACCACAATCTCCCGTTTGCTCAGCGTTAACAAGGGGAGTAGCTGGTTGATTTGATTTTCCTGTATGGGAAACATGACCCAAATAAACTAGGAAGTTCATCTTACTTCAAATCCTCAACCAGCTATTTGTTTGTTGAAACCGAACCATATAGAACGATCATGAAACTAGGTAATTACCACGTCACTCACGTTGGCATAACATGGAACCGAGTGGGGACTTTTGCACCTTCGTTTGAGATTTTCTCGAAAGGTACCGGACTCGCGCCTCTAAAAAGCAACACAAACACCAAGTGCTTTTGACAAAGCACATCATTTCAATAAAAGCGCAAAGAGAAGCCCCCTTCAAAAGGCATCGCTCCTAGAAATCGAGGGTTTGTTGGTGTTTAGTACATATAAGACAGTCTAAGAAATACTAACGAAGTTGAATTTTCAAGATGATTTTAACTTGTAAACCAAGTGGTGGAACATTAATTAGGCACGACACATATCCAGTGAAACAGCTTTCCTTTTATCCTCCGCGATATCACCTGATGAGTTGGGATTCGTTTTCGCAGTGGTCCATCACACCGTCTAGTGCACCGTGGTTAAAGTCATATCTGTTTTGAGCTGAGCTGAGACAACCAGGCAGTTGACGCTCACTGCTTCTGCGAAAGGTCGTTCAGTGGCTAGGGTTTGACATTCCGTAGTATTCATGACACTGAGGCAGGGCTTAGAGGACACAGGTGGAAACAGCCTAGCGGCTGAATCTAGTGAGAAATGTATAGGATAGACTGGGGACCTGCGGCACTAATAAGCCGAAACCAGACCACTTCTGACCGGCTTTTTGCGAGTATCTATGATTCAAACTGAACTAATCGACAGGCCATGTATTCTGGTTGGTTGTCTTGTGTAGACTATGGTCACGAGCAGACACTTCCAGCACCGTCGTTGGGTCAGCTACATGGAAGCTTTAGAAAGCTAAGACTAATCGGCGGGCCATGTATTCTGGTTGGTTGTATTGTGTAGACTATGGTCACGAACAGACACTTCCAGCACCGTCGTTGAGTCAGCTACATGGAAGCTTTAGAAAGCTAAGGCAGATCGTGGTAAACTGAACATCTGCTGACGCTGCGCCAATGGAGTACCGTGTACTAGTTGGTGACCGACCAATCAGCTGCGACCAGCACAAGCACGGTGGCAGTCCCTGCGGATCCGGCTTGCTCGGCTACTAGGTCCGAAAGCCCCAACGATACCCTTGCATCTTGTGAATGTCGGCTGTCTAGCTCGAAGTTGGAGATGGTCGACTATCCACTCAGCTTCCGAGATCCATAATGCAAGTTCGGTTGTGCAGTAACCTTGGTTCATACGCAGTCTACCCATGACTAACTGTTTAAACTGATCGCTCAGGGTTCTGTGTATAGCAAAAAGCGTTCGAATTCTGTCCAGTAATTAAACCGCACATTGACCTACTCTTCAGTCGAAACTTTGTACACAAGATATTTCACATTGAAGGTGAAAGTGGACTTTTGTTGGCTTGCTCGCCTCGTCAACTAGCAGCTCTCAGGCTCAGCACTCAGGCGTTTGGTTGCCAGGAACTTGACAACGATCTATTCGATGTCTGTGGCTTTCGTGCTGTCAGTTTCCTTCCAGATTGCCCACTTGATTGTTTGGATGTGAGCACGTCAGAATACATGCGGTAGGCTAGCTCTAGGTACAACTCTCACCCTTGTATTTCCCCGTGACCTTATGATAGTTAAGCATCACTATCAACACTGATGTCACTGCCTCTGATGATAGTGACGACGAAGTCAGTTTTGGATGGCATCGAAGTTCCATTTTTCACGCGGGAGAAACTCAAGTAAGGTACTTTCATTCCAGAGTATCGTTAACTTTACGGAGTTCACAAATGTATTTGAAAACTCGATAGACGTTTAACCATGGAAGCTAAAGCTAAGGCAGATCGTGGTAAACTGAACATCTGCTGACGCTGCGCCAATGGAGTACCGTGTACTAGTTGGTGACCGACCAATCAGCTGAGACCAGCACAAGCACGGTGGCAGTCCCCGCAGATCCGGCTTGCTCGGCTACTAGGTCCGAAAGCCCCAACGATACCCTTGCATCTTGTGAATGTCGGCTGTCTAGCTCGAAGTTGGAGATGGTCGACTATCCACTCAGCTTCCGAGATCCATAATGCAAGTTCGGTTGTGCAGTAACCTTGGTTCATACGCAGTCTACCCATGACTAACTGTTTAAACTGATCGCTCAGGGTTCTGTGTATAGCAAAAAGCGTTCGAATTCTGTCCAGTAATTAAACCGCACATTGACCTACTTTTCAGTAGAAACTTTGTACACAAGATATTTCACATTGAAGGTGAAGGTGGACTTTTGTTGGCTTGCTCGCCTCGTCAACTAGCAGCTCTCAGGCTCAGCACTCAGGCGTTTGGTTGCCAGGAACTTGACAACGATCTATTCGATGTCTGTGGCTTTCGTGCTGTCAGTTTCCTTCCAGATTGCCCACTTGATTGTTTGGATGTGAGCACGTCAGAATACATGCGGTAGGCTAGCTCTAGGTACAACTCTCACCCTTGTATTTCCCCGTGACCTTATGATAGTTAAGCATCACTATCAACACTGATGTCACTGCCTCTGATGATAGTGACGACGAAGTCAGTTTTGGATGGCATCGAAGTTCCATTTTTCACGCGGGAGAAACTCAAGTAAGGTACTTTCATTCCAGAGTATCGTTAACTTTACGGAGTTCACAAATGTATTTGAAAACTCGATAGACGTTTAACCCACTGAAAGGTTTTTCAGTTTTAACAAGATCGAGTGATTTGCACTCACTTTCACCGATCAATAAACGTTCTAGATAAACCTTGTCGTCAAAAGTGTCACCCAGCTGACGTTTGCACGCAGTGGCAGAAATGTTTGACATATCTGTTGCCCTCATTTTTGTCTGTGGGCTCTTCCTGTGTGCATACTTTTATTATTTGATAAGGGTAAATCCAGAAGGCTACTCACTTCGTGAATTTCCGATAGCACAGCATTGAGGTCCGCTTGACGTAGTTTAATAAATGATTTGACCTGACGTTTGTCTGTCGGGACGGGCAGTGGATTCGCATCGAAATGGCCTTCGGGCTGGTACATCCTCACTTAAAACAAGGAAACCGACATTTCCTACCTTCCAATTCTTTATCTTGTCCATCAATTGCTGGATATACACTGACTGCTGCAATATGGATCGCGAAGACATTGCAGATAATAAGTCCATTCCTTAATGTACCACTATGAACAGGCGCGGCTGGATGTGGCTCACGTGACTCAATTCAAATCCGATCGATAAAAGGTCCCACGTGAACTCGAGTACAACCGGGAATTGTATTTCATCCAAATGCTTGAGCTTTTGTTCAGGCTTCTTATCTACACAAGCTCAGCTGCCACGTATGAACTGATATGCTGGCAAAGTCTAGTGCATTCCTTATAATGAACAATGGGCATCATTGTGACTTTGCAAAGACGAAACACTAAATAATGAATAGCCCCTAACTTCGCCATCGTTCCTGAAGGCGTAAGAGAAATGGAAGAATGGCTCACAGTGCGGCGAGATTAAGAGAACTAGAAACAACAGCACTTCTGGGGGAATAATCTTTGACGAGAATAGCGCTCACCTGTCCTGACATAAAAGGGTTGGACCTCAACTTGGGATGCCGTACCCGGTGCCGGAATTAGAATAGGGAGCCTAGCCCGTGAGTGCAGCGACAGTATAGAACATCTTTGAAGTCGAGACATAAAGTCACACGAGACACTACGTTATATACCTGTGGATGAGTCTATACACGGCAACTCCCAAAAGATTTATTTGAAGGCTAGACAACCGTTGGACGGTCTATAACGGCAGTCGCTGTCAGCTTCCATTTTGCCTTAAATTCTCCGTGGGGAGGATACCTCAGAAGAGGTCACACTACCACTTCCCCTGTTTTCCTCTCCTCCAGGGGTATTGATTTAGCGTAAAGTGTTTCTGCGGCGCAAACAGTTCAAAAGATATTCCTCTAGGAGCTCCCTGGGTAGTACGCTTTAAAATACTCCCGGCTTTGGTGGATCACCAAACTAAGTATATTTTCATTTTGATTGCTGGGAAACTATCGTAGACGGCAAAGTCTATGTGGGCCGTTAGACCAGGATTCCCTTTGTGCTGGGAAAATTGATTTCAGTTCGAGGAGTTTAAAGCACATACTCTGTGCATATAGTACCACTTTCGTATTCTTAAAAGGATGCACTGTATTCCATTGGTTCAGTGTCCAAAAACTACCTGGTACACTACAATCTGTTACACAGACTTCTGGTCGGGCAAATCAGAAGTGACAACAACTAGCTTAATTAGGAGGTGGTTGATAGTTTTGCGACATTAACCCACTGTTTTCAAATCGAAATCCTGTTTTGCCGACTTCGATGAATGCATTAGTTGGTTAATCAGTGGACAGATAGCTGGAATCATCATGGTTCAAACACATAGACCGTTTATGAGCAACATCACTGGTACCTCACTGCCATGAAACCTTGTCAGTTCATGTGAATAAAGAACTGCAATAGAATAGAGAAAGGTTGGACAGAACGGTGAACTTAACGATAACCTACTGCAGCCGCTTTATATTTCAATGCCTCCGGTAAAGCTCAGAGAGGGTCACGTGGGCTCTATTCCGGAAGGCAACCGTTTAAACGGGGGTGAGTCGGGCGGAATAGGGTGACTATCCCCTACATCCCCAACAAAAGTCTACCAATTACTTCAGTTGTATAATGCTGTCTTTCAAGCAGTAATCCATACAGTGACTGTGTACCTTTTGATTATGAATCTTTAACCCAAGCACTCTCAGAACTTGAAACGAACAGCTGGAGGATGTCAGTTTGTTTGAAATGGTGTGGAGAACGGTGAAAATCAATATTTGTTCAAATGCTGGGTGAATAAAGACTGCGACAGGCGTTCAACCCGGCGGGGTATCGCTCCAATTAGCACGCACGTCTGATGTTGGATTACATATGAAAGAGATTTATGGGTCAGTGCCTGCGTTCACTACAATTAAGCTGGAGTGGGTGCAGCATCGACGAGAGTAAATTCTGGGTAACTTCATTTAGGGAATGACACTTGCCTAGTAACTGCTTCCTTTTTGATTGGGTCCCGATTCGCAGCCAAACGTACCGTATTATAAACACATATGTTTCACCAAGCGTCGCTTCGAGCTAAAGTCATACTGGTCGCATTAAGGGCTCGTTGTTCTATTCATGTTGAAGGTTGCACCACTGTGAGCGGTGATCATCAGAATCCAAAGGTTTCACAACTCTATTGTTTATGCGTTTCAAAGTCAATTTCCAAACCCATTTGGGCGTCTAGGGTGGTTAGATCACAAAACCTCGATTCAAGTTACACCAAACACCGACCTAGTGGAAAGTTACAACTAGTTGAACTGCAAAATCTGGGGACGCCGCGGTCTATCCACTTTTGTAGTTCTGCTCTCAGAGCTACCCAAAAGAACAACCGTATCCATCCATCAGTCACGGCAGTGCAATGCCGAAGTTAGATTATTTTACACCCAAATGACGGAAATAGTTCATTTGTGGACAACCCAATTTGGAGCCGTCTTGTTTAGCTTGCCCCCATTTCTAGCTGCAGCGGTTTGCAACCTATTGTAAGAGCAGTGAAATGAGTAGGGTAGTTCTGAGCAAGATAAAAGACAGTTGTGCGCTACCATCACTTTTAAAATTCAAGCGGAGTGAAATCTTGAGGAACGCGTAACTTTTCAGGTAAGCAGTGGTCAGTCTGTGTACGTTTTGCCTGGGAACACTCAAAAGTAGTTGGGAAAAGGTGCTAATATTTATGTGAATATCTGAGTGCAAATGAACTGAACCAAACTCAGTTAATCTATGTAGTTTTTTCAGGGCATGTCATAGCACATACGAACACCATATCTGATCAAACATAGTTAAACAAAATGCTTTCAAAACAGTTCTACTCAAAATTTGAGGAGTAAAACTTAAGTTTCGTTCATCAAGAATTAGTGAATTCATTGAAAGGTGTTTCGCTATTACTGGGGCTAATCAACGTGGAATAAGACTATGTGTTTTCTGGACCTAACACCCTACCCATGAGGTTGCTGAATACTATTCGACAGCCCATGACCAGTTTTGCTTTTCTTGCAGCTGATCACGTAGGCGCAGTGCCCGAATTTCCGTCAACCTTAACTTCCAACTGAACTAAAAAGGAACAGACTTCAACAAATGTTCTGATTTGCACAAACAAATTTGGTTTTAACAAGGGACTCGGTTCAGTTCATCTGAATCTCTCGTTTAAGATGGTAAGTGATATCTTGAATACCGTGCCAACTGAAGCACGATCAGTTGAAGCGGACCATCAAATGTAGAATGTAAGATTGGCGGAAGCTCGGGGACTGCGCCTACCTGATGAGCCCCAAGAAGGGTGAAACCGGTCGTGGGCTGCCGAAGAGTTTTCAGCAAACTTGTCGGTAGTTTCCTTTATAAACACAGACTCCTTCTACATTTAAGCACCAGATGTACAGAAAAGGCTGATGAGAACGTAACAAATCCATATTACACGCCAAAGGAAGTGACTTGCTTGTGGCACCAAACTTTGCTAAAATATCTCCATTAAACTGAAATCAAAATTAGCGTATCTACCAGAAATGAAGAGTGGTAGCCGTCCATCCTAATATCGAAAGCAAGAAGATCATCTCAAGGACATGACATTTCTTTAGACTTCAATGATCCATTCACTACCAAGACCTGATGCAAACGTTCATTTAAGTTTGCGAAAGTCTCCCAACCTATCGTTGAACCAGGGCAATTAGCTTCAAACAGCGATATAGCTGATAACAGTTCCATGTTTGCTGGGTTTCGTTGTGCCTACAAACCACGGTCGATCATCATCGGATTAGTGACAGAGGAGAAAAACGCCCAGAAACTACTACTTATTTACTGATACTCATTTTGACCTAGTTCGATCAAACATTGGCCAGTCACTCCCCGACCGTTGTACACCCTGGAGGGAAGTGTCGGAATACTTTGAAGTAAAGTTCATGTGGCATCAATGTGGTAGAGCGGAATCCAGAATTACCCACACTTGGTGCATCTGGAGCGCTTATTTCCTTATATATATATAATATTTAAATCTTCCATTCAAGGACGAATCTTCGTTCACAGCCGTTTTTCGTTCCACCAATCTGGCCACTTCACAAATTGGTAGTAAAAATTTTATAGCATAAATATATATTGGTACATTTGAAACTAACTGAAAACAAGAAGGTGATATGTATCCCTTGCTAGCTGCCTTTTTTGGTGATAGAATTTGCGTTCTCCGTTGGCCTTGCCTGACAAGTTTTGTTAGCCAATACAGAAGAAATGATGTTCGTTTAACTACTGCCTGCCTCAAGGGACAGCTGCTCACGGAGCAAAACACCTGAGCATGTCAAAAAGTTTAGTGGTGAGAATAAGGGTTCATCCAGCAAACAGTAGTATTCACCTTGCTTGTCAGATGTATGAATTTCGAGCCTTAGCACGTCCATGGGTATGCGCACAAACTCATCAAATACGGGAGCCAAACACAGTGATCTAAAGGTTGCCCGGAAGGTATCCAGCGCTTCCTTGCGTTCCATGACGTGATAGGAGTTTTAGCCATCAGACGACCAATGAGTCGGCGTTCAGGACTTTGGACAAATTATTCACATTGCTCAGGTCTGAACAGGTTTGTCTGTTTAGGTTTGACAACATGGCTACTCTACGTGTCAGGTTTTCGGAGTTCACATCCGCGCAACGAGGATTGGGTCCAAAGTAGAAAAGTAGATGGAACCATTGCTTCTGAAGGCAGAAGGACAAAAGAAGTAGGGCTGTTTGTGTCAGTGACCAAACGGATTTCAGACCATGATTCACATCTAACACAAATCGTCTTTCAGCTTTTGACATCAAAAGGACTTTTGCATGGTGAATGGTATTTTCTATAGATTAGACACAGCTGCGTTTAATTTCAAAATGCTCCACACTCAATGTTCTTCTCCCTCAGCACGTGATTTCGCCAGGGAATGTAAAAATCGATAGCGACACCTATCACGCTGATCATTTGGGTGAAGAATGATATTAACATGGCACAAAGATTTGAATTTCCAGCTTACTTCAAAATTTCTCAGTCGAGAGAAGTGGTTGGGCGTCAGCAAGAACGATCATTTCATGAAGGTCAGGTTCATTGATCAGAGAATATTATTAGAAAAG